GCCGGGTTTCTGGGTCACTACTTTTCAGACTGTATTTTGAATTCTGATCATTCTTTTAAGAGTTCAGCATGGAGGGCGCAGGAATAGAATTGCAGGAGGACACAGCAGCTACAGTTGAAGACAGAGATGAGGCTGGCATGGAGGACAAAGAAATTGAAGCTTCTGAAGGAAACAAGAAAACAATGATTCCTGGGATTATATACCTGGGGCACATTCCGCCTCGACTCCGGCCTCGTCATATCCGTAACATGCTGAGTGTTCATGGGGAAGTTGGGCGAATTTTCCTGCAAGCAGAAGGTAAGTGGATGTTGACAATGGATGTGACTTTTTTTCTGAACCCACAATGAATTGCCAAAGCAGAGAGCCAAGTACTGATTGCACTAGCCCACTGTGCGCTCTAAGGCAGGGTCTCTGTTTTATGTTCTTTATTGTTTGTATGTATTTCTGTTCATGATTAACTTGATATTCGTTTATCCGTCAGATCGCTTTGTTCGGAAGAAAAAAAAAAGGTCTGGCAGTAACGCTCGCGATTTTACAGAGGGCTGGGTTGAATTCCGAGACAAAAGAGTTGCCAAGCTGGTAGCTGCCAGTCTGAACAACGCTCCCATGGGGACACGCAAGAAGAACCGTTTTCACGATGACCTGTGGAATATCAAGGTGGGCTCTCCACTTGTGTTGGATTGTTCATTTGTCCTTTGCTTCTTTCCTGAATGTCTGTAATGTTCTGTATCTCATTGTTTTTCTGTGCATCTTGTGCAGTACCTGCATCGCTTCAAATGGTCTCATCTGAGCGAGCGACTCGCGATCGAGCGGCAGGTTCGCCAGCAACGCATGCGAGTTGAAGTATCTCAGGCCAAGCGAGAAACAAACTTTTATCTCCAGAACGTGGAACGTAGCAAAAAGTTCTCCAAAGCTGAACGCAAAAAAACTGCAGGTCAGACTGAAGCAGAACCTAAAAATCAGCAATGGAACTTTACTCAGCGCAAGACTGAAGCAGAGATTCAGACTATGAAGACCAGCTCCGGATCAGGTGACAAACGGCGGATCCAGAAGAGGATGGAACTGGCTGAGAAAGCTCAGGAAAAATCTCAGACAAGCAAATTGTTGCTGCACAAAATCTTTAATGCTGCGTGAGAGACAGGACTGCTGGAGGGAAAGCAACCTCCACTCTTTTTATCTACTGAGTGAGTGCCGATCCTGGGACGAGTGGAGTCCTGCAGCAGCACTCGGGGGTTCTTATGTTGGGAATCGAGTTTCGATCCCTGAGTGAGTGTGGATATAGCTGCGTTGAGAGCCCGTGTCTGCCGTCACTCACCATGAAATGACTGAACGCTGGACCCAAACTAACTAACTACTTTTCACAACAAAAACCTGTAAAAGAAATATAAAATATTTTTCCAAGTAGCAATGTGTGTTTTTGCTTTAACTAATAGTTTTTATTTATTCTTTGTTATGGTGGGCTAGGATATTTATCAGATTTCCTTTCTGATATTATGTTGGGACACACCTCCTCAGTTACAGACAGGATTCTGGTCACGTAATAACTACAGTCTGTTAGGGTAATAACGTCCAGCTCCGTTACAGACAGGATTCTGGTCACGTAATAACTACAGTCTGTTAGGGTAATAACGTCCAGCTCCGTTACAGACAGGATTCTGGTCACGTAATAACTACAGTCTGTTAGGGTAATAACGTCCAGCTCCGTTACAGGCAGGATTCTGGTCACGTAATAACCACAGTCTGTTAGGGTAATAACGTCCAGCTCCGTTACAGCAGGATTCTGGTCACGTAATAACCACAGTCTGTTAGGGTAATAACGTCCAGCTCCGTTACAGGCAGGATTCTGGTCACGTAATAACTACAGTCTGTTAGGGTAATAACGTCCAGCTCCGTTACAGGCAGGAATCTGGTCACGTAATAACCACAGTCTGTTAGGGTAATAACGTCCAGCTCCGTTACAGGCAGGATTCTGGTCACGTAATAACCACAGTCTGTTAGGGTAATAACGTCCAGCTCCGTTACAGCAGGATTCTGGTCACGTAATAACCACAGTCTGTTAGGGTAATAACGTCCAGCTCCGTTACAGGCAGGATTCTGGTCACGTAATAACTACAGTCTGTTAGGGTAATAACGTCCAGCTCCGTTACAGACAGGATTCTGGTCACGTAATAACTACAGTCTGTTAGGGTAATAACGTCCAGCTCCGTTACAGGCAGGATTCTGGTCACGTAATAACCACAGTCTGTTAGGGTAATAACGTCCAGCTCCGTTACAGGCAGGATTCTGGTCACGTAATAACCACAGTCTGTTAGGGTAATAACGTCCAGCTCCGTTACAGGCAGGATTCTGGTCACGTAATAACTACAGTCTGTTAGGGTAATAACGTCCAGCTCCGTTACAGGCAGGAATCTGGTCACGTAATAACCACAGTCTGTTAGGGTAATAACGTCCAGCTCCGTTACAGGCAGGATTCTGGTCACGTAATAACCACAGTCTGTTAGGGTAATAACGTCCAGCTCCGTTACAGGCAGGATTCTGGTCACGTAATAACTACAGTCTGTTAGGGTAATAACGTCCAGCTCCGTTACAGGCAGGATTCTGGTCACGTAATAACTACAGTCACGTAATAACTACAGTCTGTTAGGGTAATAACGTCCAGGACACGTCCAGCTCAGTTTCCAGTATTTATTCAGTGCAAATAATAGCCAATATAAATAAACCAAATTCCCAGCTCTTTCTAGACACAGCGATGCTGTCTATGATTGGGTGGCTATTCCACTTACCAATATTTCAAATACAAATTCCAAAATAGACTTTGCAGGCAAATAAACGTTCTTCAGCTCTCCTTGCTGTCTCCTCTTTCAATGCAGCAGGTTGATCCCTTTCTTTCAACATAGTGCCTGCTAATTAATTAGTCTTAGGTGAGCATTAATTAGTTCATATCCGTGAAACTCCAGGTCAGAATACAGACTCTGGCCTGGATTTTAAACAATTTGGGTTATAGAAACATAGAATGTGACGGCAGATAAGAACCATTCGGCCCATCTAGTCTGCCCAATTTTCTAAATACTTTCATTAGTCCCTGGCCTTATCTTATAGTTGGGATAGCCTTATGCCTATCCCACGCATGCTTAAACTCCTTTACTGTGTTAACCTCTACCACTTCAGCTGGAAGGCTATTCCATGCATCGACTACCCTCTCAGGAAAGTAATACTTCCTGATATTATTTTCAAACCTTTGTCCCTCTAATTTAAGACTGTCCTCTTGTTGTGGTAGTTTTTCTTCTTTTAAATATAGTCTCCTCCTTTACTGTGTTGATTCCCTTTATATATTTAAATGTTTCTATCATATCCCCCCTGTCTCGTCTTTCCTCCAAGCTATACATGTTAAGATCCTTTAACCTTTCCTGGTTAAGTTTTATCCCGCAATCCATGAACCAGTTTAGTAGCCCTTCTCTGAACCCTCTCTAAGGTATCAATATCCTTCTGAAGATAAGGTCTCCAGTACTGTGTACAATACTCCAAGTGAGGTCTCACCAGTGTTCTGTACAATGGCATGAGCACTTCCCTCTTTCTACTGCTAATACCTCTCCCTATACAACCAAGCATTCTGCTAGCATTTCCTGCTGCTCTATTACATTGTCTGCCTACCTTAAAGTCATCAGAAATAATCACCCCTAAATCCCTTTCCTCGGTTGCGGTTAGGACTCTATCAAATATCCTATACTCTGCCCTTGGGTTTTTACGTTCAAGATGCATTATCTTGCACTTATCCCCATTAAATTTCAGCTGGCACAACTCTGACCATTTTTCTAGTTTACCGAAATCAGTGGTTCCAACCAAGTCCTCAAGTACCCCTAAACAGTCCAGGATTAAAGGACCACTCTAGGCACCCAGACCACTTCAGCTTAATGAAGTGGTCTGGGTGCCAGGTCCTTCTAGGGTTAACCCATTTTTTCATAATTATAGCAGTTTCAGAGAAACTGCTATAATTATGAATGGGTTAAGCCTTCCCCTAATCCTCTAGTGGCTGTCTCATTGACAGCCACTAGAGGCGCTTGCGTGCTTCTCACTGTGATTTTCACAGTGAGAGCACGCCAGCGTCCATAGGAAAGCATTGTAAATGCTTTCCTATGCGACGGGCTGAATGCGCGCGCAGCTCCGCGTGCGCATAGCGGGCGGAGGCGGAGAGGCTAGGGAGGCTCTCCGCCCAGCGCTGGAAAAAGGTAAGTTTTAACCCCTTTCCAGAGCCGGGCGGGAGGGGGTCCCTGAGGGTGGGGGCACCCTCAGGGCACTATAGTGCCAGGAAAACGAGTATGTTTTCCTGGCACTATAGTGGTCCTTTAAGGGATTACCCAGTTGTGTCTAAGATGTTTTAAAAAAAAAAATAAAATAACTTTAGACACAACAGGGTAATCCCTAAATTCTAGAGGACTGGGTTGGGAAAACACTGACCTAAATCATTTGCCGTTGGTGGGTTATTGGAGCATTGGCCCACACTGCTCTCCAAATCCTCCTTCCCAGGGACCCTTACCATGTTTTACAAGTTACCAGAACTCAATGTGTTTGCTGTAGCGGAGAGCTGGTATTTCACAGGTTATCTCCACTAAAGACCCCAGTGAGGCTCAGGAACAAGTAATAAAATCCCATATAACCATAGTCACAGCAAGCAAGGTAATCCACGAATATCCCCATACAGATCCCAATGACTGAACTGAACTTTTAATCACTCAACCTCCTTTTAAAGCTTTCTCCCATGCAAGGGGAGGGATTAACATTAATTTTTACAGTAGCCAATAGTGTAAGGGTTGCTTCCCACACATCTCCTCCCCTCAGTCTGACACACAATCCACTTATTCATACTGCCGTTTTACCCGATTTCTAGATGTACCCCAAAACAGTCAGAATTATATAATGGGTTGCCCTGATCTAGGTGACCAACATATTCAAAATTCACCCAGATCGGACCCGGGGTTCGGGAGTTATGTGGAAGAGGCAATTTGACCAACCGCACTCTGTTCGGGAGATAAAACATATAGAATTACTTGCCATCCAACGTTAAATCGGTATTCGTATGAATTCCCTGGTTCGGTATATTTAGTTCACCGAACGAGGGGCTGGTTGGCCCATCCGTTCGGGAGTTATGGAGCTCTGGAGGTCTCAGCGGTGTTCGGGTGATGGAGTGTCCATTTTGAGTTCCAGACACTCGACGACCAAACACTACTGCGATTTTCTTACTTAAGATGGCCGCTGCCACGTGGTTCGTATGCCAAACGGCAACCACCCAGATATGTATACAAAGTACCGATTGCATGGTCAATTAGCTTGCGGTTACAGAGTGTGAAAGCCTAACGAGGTGCACACTTCTCTCTGGGGTGGTCTGATGGTTCGGTAGTTTTCATTTGTATGGAACACGGACTGAAAACTACAGAACAATCAGACGAATGCTACATACAATAAATATATACAGGGGAATAATCACACGAAATAAATTTTTAAAGAAAACTTTGAGGACAGCCCAATGCCATCCACTACATTTGCAAACACAACATATTTCTCTGGGATATTTCTACCTAGAAAAAAAATAGGCTGCTGTTTACGAATACCGGCCTGATGGAGATTAGGGATGTGCATGGGCAAAAAATTTGGTGTGGTTCAGGAATTCGAGACTTTGGCAATTCCCTAACCTTGCCCCTACCTCTACCTCTTATTTTCCCTCCCTCTCCTGTTTTGCCACTTTTCAGAAATCCGAAGCACTTCGGGACGTCGCCAATTCGGTTCGGCACTTCCGACATTCGGAAGCATCTGAATTGCCGAAATTCGTCTGAATGTAAATTCGGATCGAAACAAATTGCAGGTGTCTAATAGAGATTCCATCAGTCACTGCACCACACTTCCTCTCACAATGTGTAGTGTTAATGTTCAAATATCGAATTCAAAAACTCTTTCCCCTCCGGTGCCGGTCCGCAATTAATACATTTAAACAAAAATATGATAATACTCTAAGAACGTGGTAACAGGATAAAATAAAATGTAGCTTTTATTTAGCTGTAACACAACTTTAATCAGGACAAAAGCTTAACATGTACATACGTTGAAAGATCTATATATGAATAAAATCCATAGATTGTCTGCACTCATGCCATCGCTTGCAGTCGATCAAATATAACATTTATTGCAGCAGCAACATATATACTTTTATCCTGAGGAAAGTTTATATTTTTAAACTGAAACGCTGATTCTGCAATAAAAGTTAAATTTAAAGCCCTGCAAGAGCCGTGAGTGCTCACTATCTATAGATTTCTGTCTGCCTCCCATGACTGCGAGCCGATTGTGGCCATTTGCAGATAAACATTCCTGTGTGTTGGTCTTACAATGCAGAGTATTTCCTTGCGGTACGCCAGAGATGTATCTGTCAGTGTGACAGGTATTTGGGAGCTGTGATGGATAACTGTAAAAAGCCTTGCCCGATATCCTACAAACAGCTCAGACAGTTCTTGTTCCACTGCTTGCTGTGCGCACGTTCCATATCCCAGAAATCCTTGCACACCATGGGTTTACGTAGATTAGCTGACCGGTTTTTACTGAAATCTGCAACATTGCAACTCACCGTCTAGAAATTAATCTTTTTGTCTTTTTTTTTGAGCCCTCTGCAGTGAGACAGTCTGATGGGGCCGGTTACTCTCTTGGTCACTGAGCTCAGAGGATCTAACAGAAACTCCTTTTAGTGTTTGTTTATGGAGAGGAATGCTTACCACTTGCACAGAAAGTCCTGTATGGATTTAGAATAGCCTTATTTATATGCCAGCTTTGCCCTTTATACCGTGCCCTCGATGTCTAAGCTGAGTGTCGATACCCTGCTTTCTTACAACATGGACACTGGGAATTCACGGAGACGCGATATATAGATGGACGACACATTATGTTCGTGCTGTTGGCGTGGCAGAAACGATGAAATATGTCCTTTATTTCTGTAGTTAATTCTATGTTTATTGCTTAAAGGAACACTAGTAGTTAAGCCAGAGATTTATGGTGCCTCTGTTTATTTTCCGTTATCTGAGAGCAGGGTTCACCGCTGAGGGCGTTGACGCATTACTGCTGCCAGTCATCGATTCATGTTAAAGGAGCAGTATAGGGTCAGGAACACAAACATGTATTCCTGACTTTATAGTGTTAAAACCACTATCTTGCCTCCTTGGCCCCCTTTGCCTCCCTAAAGATAGTAAAATCGTACTTGTATTCAACTCTGAAGCTGCTGCCTCTGCCTGTGACCTAACTCTGACATCATCAGAAGTGGTGGCCTGATCGAATCACAGTGCTTCCCCATAGGATTGGCTGAGACTGACAAAGAGGCAGATCGGGGCAGAGCCAGCATGATTCAAACACAGCCCTGGCCAATCAGCATCTCCTCATAGAGATGAATTGAATCAATGAATCTCTATGAGGAAAGTTCAGTGTCTGCATGCAGAGGGAGGACATACTGAATGTTTGGATACATTTTAGGCAGCCATGACCCAGGAAGGATCTCTAACAGCCATCTGAGGAGTGGCCAGTGAAGTTATCACTAGGCTGTAATGTAAACACTGCGTTTTCTCTGAAAAGACAGTGTTTACAGCAAAAAGCCTGATGGTAATGATTCTACTCACCAGAACTAATTCAATAAGCTGTAGTTGTTCTGGTGATTATATTGTCCCTTTAACCCTTTGTATTCCAGATGGCACAGTAAGCATGAGAGCAGCACAGGTGCCTCGGGTACATTGTTAGAAGGTATGCAACTCCCTTTTAGAGCAGAGGTTTTGGATGAGATTCCCTGCTTCAGGTTCTGGCACGGATACTTTGGGCTTTAGTTCACATGGGTCTTGGCTGTGTTAAAGGGTCACTCCAGACCCCTAAAACACTGTAGCTTGCTGAAAAGCATAATGTGAAGTGTGGTCTCTTTTATTTTCCATTTTGAAAAAAGTGCAGATATCAATAGAAATAGAAACTTTTATGAATTAATTTTGTTAACCCCCCCCCCGGCCGTCAATCAGACAGCAGTTCCGGTTACTTCCTGGTTTGTTTAGCTCATGGAAGATACATTCAAGAGGCAGCAATTGCCCTGAGCACCTGCCTTACAAAGACTTCTCATTGAGCTGCAATGGCTGTGATTGGACAGACACAGAAAGTCTGGGCGGAGTTAGAAGGCTGCAGATAGGAGTACTGCAACTTTTACAAACTACAAAAGTAGAGAGAAGGCAGGAGAAAAGTAGGATTAAGTATATTATCCTAATAGAGTGAGTTTCCCTCTCTCAGGAGAGAAACAGAACGGGAAGAATATAGTAACTCATTCCCAATTTCCCAAGATTATAAAATTTAGCTTTTAATCTGGAACTAAATAAAAAAGAAAATAGCGGTTAGTAAGGTAACCCACCAAACTTAATGTGTTAATGAACGGCAGCTATAGGCTACAATGCTGTACAGTGAATGTACTATTGCCAACAGTAGTGTGCTGATCACAATAATGTAGTTTAGTATCACTGCATGATTTAAACGCTGTGAATACTTCAAACTGTTAAATCAGCTAAACAATACTAGCTGAAGTTTGTTGGAGAACTCTATGCTGTACAGCTGTGTAATAAGTGTTTTATTCACACCCTCAGATTACGTTGGCTGATAGTTATGGTTACTGTTGTGACCAACTCAATGTAACATTAGCTAGACTCTTAAAGGCAGGAAAGGATTTCAATGCGGAGTAGCCTAGATACGAGCTTTTGAATCTCCTATAGTAAGAACAATATCACACTGAGACAGTAAATGGTGATGAGAGTGTTCATAGCTGAGCGTTGTTGGAGAACAAACTGACAGACCGCTGTTGCTACACTGTTGTAAAATATATGGTAGCAATAATGTGTCTAATTGAGCTCTTGCGATTAATACAAATCCCCAGAATTTAGTTGGTTCCACCCTGCAGACTGCGATCTATTTGTCTGTTTGTAAGAAAGTAAGGAGAAAATTCCTAAAATCTGAATAGCGTTACTGCAGCTGAATGACAGAGTCAGTTTATCGGGAGGGTAAATAACTGGCAGGATAAATTATCACTGACAAGCTTTGGTAGAGGAATACAGTCCTGCCTATAACTGTAATCCCTTTATCAGTGATGATACCTAAGTGGCCAGTGATTAAACAGACACTCGGTCCGATCTATGGTAAAGGGGGAGAGAGAGGGATACAGTCAGAGTATAGATCAAGTAAGGCAGGGGAGCTGTTTGCCTGTCACTTACAGCCCTAGCCTCTCGTGCCTTCGAGGGCGCCCCTTAATATAAAGCCTAATCCCCTCCTGATACTTGGTACCGACGTCTGGTATCGCCTCCCACCCTGTTAGTAAGGTAAACTGTGAAACAACTAAAGTCATTGTCGTGCTGGCTCATGATCAGTGCAATGAGCCAGTTCTGCCGTAATCGTAGCCCTATTCCTATTACAACCGGGGTACGGAGACATGCACTGATGGTTCAGTGAATAAAGGATAACGCCAGGTAAGAACCCCTGACGTGCGTTTCGCCACTCTGGCTCTTCAGAGGGGAACTGTGCTTCTGTTTAGGTCCGGTTTAAGTAGGAGGTAAAGTTGAATCTCATTGGTCCATTTAAAAATTCATGGGCCAATGGGTGATGAGATTTCAGAGGTCGGAAGTAGAGAATACTTAATACTTAACCCTTTCTGTGCTGTTTAGCAATTCTTAAAATCCAACCTTTGCCTTTGGGGACCAAAGACACTGTATTTACAAATATCTAGCATTATCCAAATATAAATACACAGAAGAGAATGAAAAAGCTGGATAGTATTTACATGGATAAATAAAATAAATGCATAAAGTGAAGTATGAAATTAAAATAATATACTGGTAAGAGTGCTGTACACAATAATCAATTGCATAGTATATACAGTTTTATGGTCATGAAAATAAATAAATATGTGAAACTTAATTCCCAAAGAGACTATTTACATTGTTATTTTACAGAGTAATGGTGTGCTCAATGTCATTGGACAGGCATTACTGATTTAAGCTGTATTCTGTATTGATGTTATTAATATGGGGCTAGGGTAGTGGCTAAATCTCTTACCCCTAATTGGGATTAGGATGAATGTAAATCAGATTCTGTTAGTGTATGAAAGGGGTAAATTTAACTCCTTGTTAAGACCTGAGGGTGTGTGGGTTCTAAATTCATGGATCCATTTGGACTTTCTTTTAAGTAGTCTTAAATTGAATTCTCCCTTTCTTGCATTTGTGGCGAGTCGTTCAATAGCTTGAAAATGTAGATTGGAAGGGTCCCCTTGATGTTGGGAGCGGACATGGTTGGATACTGGTGTAGTAATATTGCTGTTGGTAACCGAGTTAACATGTTGCAAAATACGTCTCCGGAATTGTTGGTACATTTTTCCTATGTACTGTATATTACAACTACATGTAACAACGTAGACAATTCTGGTGGTGCTACAGTTTATAAAATCACGGACCGGATATTGTCTATTGGTTTTAGTGCACAGGATAAATTTGGATGAGTTGATGAATTTGCAGGCCTTACATGATCCGCGTTTGTAAATCCCCTTCGTCTGTGTCAGCCATCCAGGGGTAGTGATAGGAGATTCCAAATGGCTATGTACCAGGGCAAATCTTAAGTTCTTCGGTCTCCGTGCGGTTAGGCTGGGGTAGGGAGTGATGCTATCATGGAGTTCTTTATCGTGTAAAAGAATTGACCAATTGTTTGTCAATATTTCTCTCACGGACTCCCAATATTGATCAAAGGTGCCTATACATCTTATAGTCTGTTTTGGTGGTTTCGGTCTGGAGGAGCGAAGGCAGATGGATCTATCCATATTAATGACCTTTTGGTATGCTTTTTTAAAAATTTTATTTGGATAACCCTGTTCCTTAAATCTTAACCTAATCTCTTTGGCTTCTTTCTGGAAAGAAATTTCAGGTTTTAGGAATTTTCTCCTTACTTTCTTACAAACAGACAAATAGATCGCAGTCTGCAGGGTGGAACCAACTAACCTCTGGGGATTTGTATTAATCGCAAGAGCTCAATTAGACACATTATTGCTACCATATATTTTACAACAGTGTAGCAACAGCGGTCTGTCAGTTTGTTCTCCAACAACGCTCAGCTATGAACACTCTCATCACCATTTACTGTCTCAGTGTGATATTGTTCTTACTATAGGAGATTCAAAAGCTCGTATCTAGGCTACTCCGCATTGAAATCCTTTCCTGCCTTTAAGAGTCTAGCTAATGTTACATTGAGTTGGTCACAACAGTAACCATAACTATCAGCCAACGTAATCTGAGGGTGTGAATAAAACACTTATTACACAGCTGTACAGCATAGAGTTCTCCAACAAACTTCAGCAAGTATTGTTTAGCTGATTTAACAGTTTGAAGTATTCACAGCGTTTAAATCATGCAGTGATACTAAACTACATTATTGTGATCAGCACACTACTGTTGGCAATAGTACATTCACTGTACAGCATTGTAGCCTATAGCTGCCGTTCATTAACACATTAAGTTTGGTGGGTTACCTTACTAACCGCTATTTTCTTTTTTATTTAGTTCCAGATTAAAAGCTAAATTTTATAATCTTGGGAAATTGGGAATGAGTTACTATATTCTTCCCGTTCTGTTTCTCTCCTGAGAGAGGGAAACTCACTCTATTAGGATAATATACTTAATCCTACTTTTCTCCTGCCTGCTCTCTACTTTTGTATTTTTGGGGGGTTAACCCCCATTTAGGAGAAATTTATTAAAATATCCCCCTTTCTCCCTGTTTTTAACTTTTACAAACTGTTTTAATATAAACCCCCCATGGAAAAATGCATTATGACATGTGTACAAGTTTTTGTAAGGGGTATATCTATTATACAGTGATTTTTATTTATTTTACATTTGGTCAGTTGTGTCCCTTTAAGTGAGGATCACTGTACTTAATTATATCACATTAAGCAGTGGCCTAATCCCTGCCTATCGCCCTTCCCCCTATTAGAGAGCGCACTATAACTGGGCAGTCTCCAAACCTGCGCTGAGCCTCGTACTCAGCAGAGGACGCACTGTAAATCAAGCCTGCACTGGGCCTGAATTCCAACCTTCCCTGTGTTATTCACTAAGCACTGGGTTCTACAGAATTAAGGACTGAAATACCATGTGTCACGCCAGGGGTGCATAATTCATTGTTGCACTATAGAATATTGCCATTTAATGTAATTTCTTTAGTGCATATATGAATTGGCCACTTGGTAGAGGTCAGATGACAGAAGGGGTAATGTAAATTGTATCGGAATGTGAAAAGGGTCAGATGGTTTACAACATGGATTGATCCTTTGATTAATCAAAGGCTCTGCACATGTGAAACTCTACACTTGAGCTGCCGATATGTCTGGTTTCAATGTAAACTAACTGACTTCGACCATATGTCCTGAAACTATTAATCGATTGTTCACTTCTTTGATATGTTAATGGCCATTAGCCTTCAAGAAATCCCTTGTGTTCCAGTATCCTATCCAAAGGATACATTAATACTTACCCACAGATTAATAATTAAGCTTTATTTTTATTATTTTTAGAATGGGACATGCACAATCTTCTAATCAAGCCTAAACATGAATTGCGTGTCTTAATCTATTTGGGCGGGACTGTGATGTCCGCTATATTAGGTCACAAGTAAGGAATGTGACATATCTATGGAATGGAAAAATGGTACAAAAATTCATAGATACAATTATTATTTATGTGGCAAGTACATAAGAGGAGATGGAACCTAATGTTTCTATTTGAATTGATGTTGGTCTGGAACACAAGGGGGTGGTCACTTATTGTCTCTGGGCGAGGCTTGGTAATCCACAGAGTATATATATCTAATGATACTGAAGTGTGGACTGTACTTGCTTGGGGCCGAAAACAAAAACTAACTAAAAACTGAGTCACCATCTTCCTTGCCAGAGACCCCCTGGGCAGAAGTTTTACTAAGAGAGCAAATGATTAAGAAACATTCCATTATTAAGTTCTGCCTTTGTCTGGTAAAGAATCAGGTTACCTGAAGAGACTGAGTGTTGTTGCAGTTCCTTGAATATTGTGCTACCGTATATACTCGTGTATAAGTCGATCTCATGTATAAGTCGAGGGCAGTTTTGTGACCAACAATTGTGAAATATGCTATGCCTCATGGATAAGTCGAGGGTAAAACTTGGAGCTATGAAATTCTGTGATTTTTAGAATTATATACACACACACACTCATACAAACACACACACTGCATTATACACACACACACTCATACAAACAATCTGCATTCTACACACACACTCATACAAACACTCACACTCTGCATTATATACGCACACACACTCATACAAACACACACTCTGCATTATATACGCACATACACTCATACAAACACACACTCTGCATTATATACGCACACACACTCATACAAACACACACTCTGCATTATATACGCACACACACTCATACAAACACACACTCTGCATTATATACGCACACACACTCATACAAACACACACTCTGCATTATACACACACACACTCATACAAACACACACTCTGCATTATATACACACACACTCATACAAACACACACTCATACAAACAATCTGCATTCTACACACACACTCATACAAACACACACACACTCTGCATTATATACACACAGAGTGTGTGCGTATATAATGCAGAGTGTGTGTGTGTTTGTATGAGTGTGTGTGTAGAATGCAGATTGTTTGTATGAGTGTGTGTGTGTGTGTGTATGAACTGGGTGGGAGGAGGGCATTTTTATTATAATTTTTTTATATATTTTAAGTTTTTTTATTTTATTATTATTTTTTAATATTTTACTTTTTTTATTTATTTTAATATTTTACGTTTTTTATTTTAATATTTTTCATTGTATTTTTCTTATTTATTTAATTTAATTTTTGTCCCCCCTCACTCCCTGGTGGTCCAGTGTATGGGCTGTATAGGAGGGGGGGCTGACAGTGAGAGGTTACTTACCTTCCTGCAGCTCCTGTCAGCTCCCTTCTCCTCCGTGCAGCTCCTCTGTCAGCTCCCACTGTAAGTCTCGCGAGAGCCGCGGTGACCCCGCGGCTCTCGCGAGACGTATAGTGGGAGCTGACAGAGGAGCTGCACGGAGGAGGAGGGAGCTGACAGGCGCTGCAGGAAGGTAAGTAACCTCTCACTGTCAGCCCCCAACAGGACCGCCGGGCTTGTAATGAGCCCGGCGGTCCTGGTCTGTATTGTGGCAATGTAAATTGCCATAATACAGACATTAACTCGAGTATAAGTCGAGTGGGGGTTTTTCAGCACAAATAATGTGCTGAAAAACTCGACTTATACTCGAGTATATTACGGTAAGTAATATTTGGTGGGTTATTATTATTATTGATTTACCTGAGTGACCAAGGCACCCCATTTATAAATTGTCTTGGTGGTGGCAGCATTAAAATGGTAATAGTTATATTATTATGTGTAAGTGTGGGTGGTGTTAAGTGGGATTTTGTCATTATTTCTGGTCTAGTGCAGACAAATGGTGACGTTTAACCCTTTCACCACCACAACTATGTCACGCACACTCTTGGAGTAGGGTGCGTTCGTGACACCATGCTGTGCCCTTGGCGGAGAATCTGTTGAGATTTACCATTTTTGGCGTGTTGATTTGGGAGAATGTGGAGTTGAACAGATCACCCTGTTAATGAACGGAGCTGTGTCTGGCATTGGGTAAACTGGGTGAGAGCAGTGGTGTATTTTGGGTTTTGTGCTGTCCTAGGCATGACTAAATTCGGGCACCCCCAGAATCTAAATTTGCCCCCCCAATTTGTTTTAAGGCCATTTTTGTGACGGACAGACACATGCCCTCATTGATATATGCACTGATATACACTCACTGACAGATACACAGTCATTGCCACAAACATACAGTCATTGGCACACACTGTTTAACCAACACACACTTTCACTGACAGATACACACTGACACACCCACGCACTGACAGGCACACACTCTCAGATACACATAAAATGACATACACACACTGACACACACTCACAGGCACACCCATTCTCACTCACAGACACACACTCACTCACTCACAGTAAGGTGGACAGCCCCAGAACATGAGGCAAACAAGGCATTTGTCTGGGAGCTTGGGGTGGCATTTTTTGGCGCCCTCCTGAAAGTGCCTCCCTAGGAAAATGCCTTGTTTTCCTTGTGGTAAATACATCCTTGGGTGAGAGAAATTCCCAGCAGAGTCTTGGCGATGCATGAACACATTTAGGGTGTAAATGAAGAATTTCATATTTTAGACTTAAACAGACGATCTGGAATCAGGTAGTTGGGAAGAATGTTTCCAATTCCACTTTTTTTTTTGCCCTTAAATCTAAAATTTACTTTGAATTGCTCCACTCCATATGTCTTCACATAACCACACTCAGTATGTCCTCCCACTCCCTGTACCCCCATATCCACACTCCGTATGTCCTCCCACTCCCTGTACCCCCATATCCAC